TTACCTTCTTCTTCCAGGACACCAGAGATAGCTACTCACTTTAACCAACTACTGAGTTTAAATAAATAACAGGGGCTATTGCATTCTTTCTTTCTTTCTTTTTCTTATTTGCATATATTTCATGAATACGACTTCAGGAACATAACAATTCTTCCCACTGTACCCGCACTCCCACCTCTCCTCCTCTTTCTTCTCCTGTTCCCAGTCTTGTTTATTATTAAGGTCTATTTTCATTAAACTTCATACACAGAGATTAACTCTATTCTAGGTAAAGAATTCAGCACTTGGTATGAGGGAGGAAAATAAAAAGAAAAAAATCAAACCAAAACTAAAACAAAAGCCACTGAAAGCAAAAAACATAAAAAAAAAGAGAACTAAAGCTGTTCCTCAACACTCTAGATAAGGGCTGTTCAAAGCCGTTGCATCTCAATGGTAATTTTGCCTTTTTTTTTTTTTTTTGAAACTTAATTATCTTTAAAGAAGAACCAAAGAATGGTACATCTTTTGTGAGCACTTAGGCGTAACTATAATTTATGTGACATGAGAATATCCTCCTCTTAATATACTAGAATGACATAATTCTTTGAGAACAAGTTTTATTATTAAGTCTCATAATACAGCTCTTTGAGGACAGAGGTCCTGCATGGAAAGTTAGTGCATAGTGACTATTGTTGCTTATTTAACAATTAACACTCTTATGTGTGATGTCAGTGATCACCCAAGGCTCTTGACATAAGCTGCCTAGACAATGGAAGCTTTTTGGATCCATAAACTCCTTCAGTGTTTCAACAAGGCCATAGGAAAAGTAGAAGCTCTCTCCTCCCTTCAGAGGAAAGTACATCCTTCTCTGATGACCAGTTCTTTCCACTGGGGTCTCACTCACAGAGGTCGTTCATGTAGATCATTTTTTTTTTTTTTTTTTTTTTTTTGCCACAGTGTCTGGGCTTTTCAGCCAAACCAGAATGCTTTAAGGGTTGATTCTGAGTTCAGAGTGATTGTCATTCTATGAGTTTGCTCCCCATGTTAGAGCATTCACTACTTTTTAATTCTATTATTATTACCAAACACTTATCCTATTTATATGATGCTTTTAACACTTGATCCTATCTATATGATCATTTTAACAATCATATCCATATGATCTCTATAACACTTAGAATGTTATTTTTACCACCAGCTTAAGGAGATTTGGGCTCCCATGGCATGTTTTTAAGCTGTACCCTTAGAAGTAGGTACATAGGAATATATGCGTAACTATACTGCTTTACAGTTACAAACTTCATACATTTCACAATTACAACTTTGGGATCACAGTGATTCTTCCCCCAGTGCCTGCCCTCCCACCCACACTCCTGCCTGCCTTCTTCTTTCCTCTCTTATTCTGACTCTTATTTTTAACTTCCAGAACAAAGGCACTCTGTTCCAAGGCAACTTGTTACTTGAAATTTGCTAATGGCAACTTCTCCTAAAAACCAACCAACCAACCAACCAAAAAAAAAAAAAAAAGTTCTGTTTTTCCATGTATTTCCAAAATACGTGAATATTAACGGGGAGGAGTGAGGAGAGTAAAACAGGGCATAGAAGAGGAGGAATGAAAAATACAGGAGGATTGCTGAGGCACTATAATATCCCAGCACATGAGGAAGGGTTTAGGCTGGAGCAGGAGGGAGGAATGGTCTTGATTACAGGAGAATATATAGGTAGGTTTGTGAATGGGACATTCACAAATGCATTCACTCCTACATTTCATCTGCGGAGAGGAAGCAAGGTCACTTGCTGGCGGTGAGAAGGTAGAGATTGAGTAGGTTTCAGAGATTTAGAGAAGTGGGAGGTTTGGGAGAAACACTATAAAAGATGGGGAAATGGAGCCGATGTGTAATAGATGGGGTTTATAACCAGCTATGGAAGGGGTTCACCCACAACCTCCTATAGCTGTTTGTGGACCTCCTCTAGTACCCTGCAACATTGGGACTGGCTCTGTCCATTTCTTGACTTGCTGGTCATGATCCTGTTCCCTTCTGCTCTAACTTGAGGAATCATTGAAATTCAAGTTCTGTCACTGTAGAAATGATCACAAATGTGTTCTGAGCATTTTAAAAAGGAATATGTTAATGTCAGGAGTTTGATGTTTGAACTAGTTTTGTACCAAATTGATAAGCTGAGAATTGTCTTTCTTTTTTTTTTTCAATTTTATTTAATAAATATAAATTTCCAAAGTACAACTTTTGGATTATAGCGGCTTTTCTCCCAGTAACCTCCCTCCCACCCACAACCATTCCATCCTCCCACTCCCTCTCCCATCCCATTCTTCATCAAGATTCATTTTCAATTATCTTTATATACAAAGATCAACTTAGTATATACTAAGTAAAGATTTCAACAGACTGCACCCACACAGAAGCACAAAGTATAGAGTAGTTTGAGTAGTAGTTTTACCATTAATTCGCATAGTACAACACATTAAGGACAGAGATCCTACATGGGGAGTAGGTGCACAGTGACTCCTGTTGTTGATTTAATAATTGACACTCTTAGTTGTGAAGTCAGTAATCACCCAAGACTCTTGTCATGAGCTGCCAAGGCTATGGAAGCCTTTTGAGTTCACCAACTCCAATCTTATTTAGATAAGGCCATAGTCAAAGTGGAAGTTCTCTCCTCCCTTCAGAGAAAGGGATCTCACTCACAGAGATCTTTCATTTAGGTCATTTTTTTTTTTTCCAGAGTGTCTTGGCTTTACATGCCTGCCATACTCTCATGGGCTCTTCAGCCAGATCTGAATGACTTAAGGGCTGATTCTTAGGCCAGGGTGCTGTTTAGGACATCTGCCATTCTATGAGTCTGCTGCGCATCCCACTTCTCATGTTGGATCATTCTTTCCTTTTTAGAGAATTGTCTTTCTAAAAGCTTCCTGCAGCCTGGCCTCAAGTCCCAGAATACTGGAGCAAATGAGCAAACATTTGCTTGTTTCTGTTTTCTAATAACAAAATTTGCTCCCTGTAAAGTAAATTCTACAAAGAAATTGGGCTGTTTTGCTGGCCATTTGAAACAATTTGTGACCTAAGCTTTTCAAAATCTAACTCTGTACTACTTTTTTAAGTTAAAAAATGTTCATTTATTTGAGAGAGAGAAGCAGAGGAAGTGATGGGGAGGACACCCCTATCTGCTGGTTCACTCCCTAAATGCCCCCAATAGGGTAGGGCTGAGTCAGGCTAAAGCTGGAGCTAAGAACTCCATTGGCATCTCCCACATGGATGGAAGAGACCCAAGTACTTGAGTTGGTGCCTGTTGCCCCTCAGGGTCAGCATTAGCAGGAAGTTGAAAAGAGTAGCAAAACTGGGACTCCAACATAGGCCCTCCAGTACGAGATGTGGATGTCCCAAGCGGTGTCATAACTGCCAGGTCAAACACTTGTCCCCACCCCACTATTTTCCTGCTTACATTATGTTCTATAGTCAGCATTGGCCCAGCACCATTGTCCTGGAGCTACAGGAATATTTCCAGTTCTCAGCATTAGGTAGGTCTCACAAGGTCTGAGCAAACACTCCCTACTTTCCAGCCACTTCATATATCCCATTCCTGTATAGGAAGGGACAGTTTTACCTAAATACTAATTTACTCAACAGAATAAAAGAATGGTCCTCAAAAAGTTCATGAAAAATATTTAGTATAAAAAAAAGTTCATGTTTTCATGTCTTTTTTCTATGAGCTTTTTGAAGTGCCCTTATATCATGAATCCATACCAACATTTCTACTCCTAATCACCCTATGGGGATCGTGAGGGAGATGTCCGCCTCCTTTGTTCCTCCACAACCGCAGAGTGCGTACACATCAGGTTGCTGGCAGGGAGCTTTCCTGGGGCTGATGCTAGAACCAAGATTTAATGACAAGGGGAAGCTATATAATAAGGTAGGAAAAACTGTTCTGGGAAATGACCTAGCCATGCAAAGGCTAGAAACACAATGATGAGTGTCAGAGTATACTTGGCTTAATATTTTGTAAGATTAATGTACAAGAAGATAAGTGCAAGATTACTCTAGAGAGGTAGCTAAGCACCAGACTGGAGCTGGCCAAAGAGTACCAGATACTGAAAGGGGATAGGAATGAGAGCAGTGGAATGGACCCTTTCCTCCATATGATTACGATGAGTGCTGCCCCTGGGGTTCACAGAGAATCTGCCAAGGAAAGCATATATCTAGTATCTAGTCCAGTTCTCTCCCAGAATGTCCTATAAATCACTGACTGATCTAAATGCTCTCCAAGACATTGTGATATCAGTAATTGTGCCATTTTTGAAAGGCACTCAAGATAGGAGTTGATGGTGATGGGAACTCTAAGACTAACTTTGTTTCAATATGGATTTTTTGAATGGGAATGTCTTCCAAATAGTTAACTTCCTGTGCCAAAAGACATATGGCTATCTGGGTCAGAGATATGAGGAATGCATTACTGTTTCTTATGATTTATTAAATCTTTGTTTAAAATAGTGGAATACATTATGTATTTTAAAGATTTGTTCATTTGAAAGGCAGAGTGACAGAGAGGGAGGGTGAAACAAAGAGATATTCATTCACTGGTTCACTCCTCAAATGGCTACAACAGCCAGGGCTGGGCCAGACTGAAGCCAGGAGCCTGGAACTCTATCTGGGTCTCCCACGTGGATAGCAGAGGTCTCAGTACTTGGGTCGTCTTCTGTTGCTTTTCCAGGCACGTGAGCAGGCAGCTAGATTGGAAGTGGAACAGCTGGGAATAGAACCAGTGCTCAGATAAGGGATGCTGGTGCTGCAGGTGGGGCAGCTGAACGTGCTATGCCTCAGCGCTGGCCCCAGTGTATTTTGAATTCTAGAGAAATATCTGGAGGCAAACTTCCAGTTGCCTTAACAAAAACAGCGGTGTTCTTAGGCCTTAAACCCTTATAGGACTTTTGAATTTCTGGAAGATGGTGCAGTACACTTAAGAACAGCAAAAATGACCAATAGAAATAATTAATATTTTTAAATTAGATTCTCCGCTCATGGAAGGAATATGATCTGGCAGTGACGATTATAAATTATGGAAAAAAGATGTTGGATATCACATCAGAGTGCAAATCTCTATTTGGTAATAGTGAGCAAGACGAAACACCAGAGGAGGTAATTGTTTTTGTTTCTCATTAATTTTTTTTTTTTTTAAATTTGATGGAGATACAGAAAGAGAGCGTGAGAGCCTGTGAGAGAGAGCGAGAGAGCTCTCACTTGCTGGTTCACTCTTCAAATCCCTGCCACTGCTGAGTCTGTGTTGGAGCTGAAGCCAGGAGCCAGGAATTCAGTCTAGCTCTCCAGTGTGAATGTTAGGAACCCAGTCACTTGAGGCATCATTGCTGCCTTCCATTGTCTGCATTAGCAGGAAGCTGGAGTCAGGAGCCCAAGTCCTCCGACACAGGATGCAAGAGCCTTAACCGGTGTCTTGAACACTAGGCTGAATGCCTATCCATTTCTCATTTTTAAACACATATTTAGTTGGGTCTTTTAGGTGTTGCAAGTTGATCAGTTTTTAATTTGTCACATTTACATAGAAGAAAGGTAATGTGGTAAAGAAGGCTGCTTTTTTTGAATTATGATCAAGAACATGAACAGCGATCTGTGCTAGCATACTGAATAGACTTTATCACCCATACTGAGCGTCAGTTAGGGGATGACTGAGAACTTACACCCCAGACGAGACACTGGGGTATAAGCCCTCTAAAGTCGCTTCTGAATCTAAGACTTTATTGTTCTGAGTGAGTTATCGAATGCAGTAAATGCATGTCAGAGCTTTTCACCTTATGCTCCAAGTACATTTCTGAAACTCATGGTGACCCTTAAATCCTCTTCTTCATGAAACTGGTAATTTTTGAGACTAAGTTTCAGTACCTGCCCCCCAAGTGTGGTTTATACAAGAGCTTATGCTTTATGGCATTTTCTCGAAACTCTGCAGTTAAATGTTTTTGTGGATCCATTTCTGAAACGTCACTTAGTGTATCTGTTTCTGAGGTAGCATGGGAATTACCTGAAGCCCCTTCGGTGGCTTGGGTGAGAAAAGACTCTCACCATCAACCTTGTTTCAGATAGAGTAGCCCTACTTGTATCTCTAGTCTATGTTGTTTCCAAGTAAGTGTGTGTGTGTGTGTGTGTGTGTGTGTTTCCAAAAATGTTTCAAAATCACCTCTGCTCTACTGGATGGCTTTTTTTTTTTTTAATCAATAATACATTTTGAGGAGAGGGAGCCGGCTTTGTCTGGAGGGAGTTTTGATTAAGGTGGAGGCACTGAGTTTATTTTTTTTCACCAGGTGTTTACTTTCAGAGTCTATCAGCCGGGTCTTGAGTCAGGACGCTGTCTCCTCCTTCACATGGTTGTGGTGTAGGGTCTTCCGCCTCTCCTTGGAACCTCTGGCTTAGCTATAGGCTGTGATACTCCCTTCTGACTAAAGCTGTAGGACCTGTTAATGTATAGGAGTCAGCAATCATTAGAGTCTCTCAAGGTCCCCTTAAGCTTAAAAGGGTTTTGGAATCTTGGTTTTGGAGAACAGGAGACATTGACAGATCCGTTCCCAAGCTCTGTGTGAGCAGACATTACAGGGAGCCAGAGGCAAACAGCCTAATTCTTAATCCACTCATGACAACTGCAGTTGTGTGTTATTGAAAGGCAGAGAGGCAAAGGCCATTAGCTTTGTTGTAAGGAAGCCCCTCCTGAGAAAAATAGAAGAAAAACTAAAACAATGAAAGCATCCATTTCTGAGGGCAGTCTGGGCACTGTGGTTTTGAAGATTTGGAAAGTCACGTCCCCAGCTGCTTTCAGGAGGGTCCAAGTATTGGAGGGGTGGTTTGTGGGAAGAAGGTACAGGGAGGAGGAAGAGAGAGGGCAAAGAAACATTCAGTCAGGCACCGCAAAGCACACAGTGCTGAGTCTGGTATTTAGCCGGAAAGCAATAATTGTTATTATCAGTTATTAATTTGTATTGTTCAGTCGTTTAGATCATAGGTTTGTCTACTGGGTATCAAAGTATGAAGACACAGTTCAAAGAGAGGTATTTGAAAATGGCAATTGTCATAACATGTTCAAGTACCTTCTGACAGTTAACCACTGTTCCTAGATTTCCACTAAGAAGTTTTTAAAGACTAGGAGGCCACAGCAGATATTGTTGCCTGAAAAAATAAATGAGCAGCTGGCCTTGTTGGAGACACACCTACTAAAGATGACAAAGCAATGTAAGCTTTTTATTTTTTGTGTACTTCTGTTTAAAATGAGAAAATATTTTGTTAAACGGATTAAAAGGGGATTAGTATTTGGTCGACCCTTTAAGGTATACACAGGGCTTTTACACCATGTCATTAATCCTAACAATATCCAGTTAATAAGGGATTGCTACTGCCTTATTTTACAGACGTGGCTTATAAAGATTAAGTATTTATTTAGGATTACATAGCTGGTTTGGACTCGAGCCTACTGATTCTAAAGTAGGGTTTCTCAACCTTGACACTGTTGTCATATGGGGCCAGATCGTTCTTTGTTGTGGGAGCTAATGTTGAGCTGCGTTCCTTATGTCTCCCATAGAAGCATAGCACACCCCTGGTTGTGATAACCAACTGGAGGGCAAATGTTGCCAAATGTGTGGGGAGATACCACCAGGGGTGTTAATATGTAAGTGATTTGGATCCTGGCCTGCTAGACTAGAAAGTAGAGTAAAAGATTGGTTTTAATTGTCCTATAGGAATTTCATTGTGGGCCAAATTTTTAATGTAACAATTATTATTTCGGAGTGTGAAGTTTGGAGTGATGGCTACAATGATTAGTTTCCTCATATTTTTAGGTAAACATGTGCTTCAAATTTTCTAGCAGCATATGAGTACTCAGATTTCTCTCAAGTATGAGGCTCCATTTTAGGCTCCATGGTCTTTTGGGAACTGGACAGTACTTACGGCATCCATGGCTCTTAATGTGTGCCTCAGTTACATTTTGGTGGTCATGCTGTTTCAGGGTACCCTGACTTGGGTCTCCTCTTTCTCTATGTTCCATGCACATTTCAAGCTGCATTTGTGAATTGGACCTAATGTCCTGTTATTCCCATAATCAGTAAACCCAGTTTTGGTAAAGCTATAATCATGTTACTTATAAAACGTATAATTCCGGCCGGCGCCGCGGCTCAATAGGCTAATCCTCCACCTAGCCGCACCGGCACACCGGGTTCTAGTCCCGGTCGGGGCGCCAGATTCTGTCCCGGTTGCCCCTCTTCCAGGCCAGCTCTCTGCTGTGGCCGGGGAAGGCATTGGAGGATAGCCCAAGTGCTTGGGCCCTGCACCCAATGGGAGACCAGGATAAGCACCTGGCTCCTGCCTTCGGATCACCGTGGTGTACCGGCCACAGCGCGCCGGCCATGGCGGCCATTGGAGGGTGAACCAACGGCAAAAGGAAGACCTTTCTCTCTGTCTCTCTCTCTCACTATCCACTCTGCCTGTCAAAAAAAAAAAAGTATAATTCCTTAAAATGTAAAATGTGCTAGAAATTTGAATTACTTATTTTCATAATATCAATAAAACATTTTATGAAGAATCATAATGTAATATTAATAGCTAAATAGTAAAATCAATAACAATAAAGATAGTTTGGTACAGCTTTTTTTTAAGAGTGCTTTTACTTAATAAATATAAATTTCTTAGGTACAGCTTTTGGAATGTAGCCATTCCTCCCCCTATAACCACCCTCCCACCTCTACACCTGTCCTACCTTCTACGCCCTCTCCCATCCCATTCTTCATCAAGATTCATTTTTAATTATCTTTATATACAGAAGATCAACTCTATACTAGTAAAGATTTCAATAGCTTGCACCCACCCAGACACACAAAGTATATAGTACTGTTTGAAGACCAGTTTTACCGTTAATTCTCATAGTACAACTCATTAAGGAAAGAGGTCCTACATGTGGAGCAAGTGTACAGTGACTCCTGTTGTTGATTTAACAATTGACACTCTTATTTATGATGCCAATGATCACCTGAGGCTCTTGTCATGAGCTACCAAGGCTATGGAAGCCTTTTGAGTCCACAAACTCCGACACTATTTAGACAAGGCCAAAATCAAAGTGGATGCTCTCTCCTCCCATCAGAGAAAGGTACCACCTTCTTTGATGGCGCCTTCTTTCCACTGGGATCTCAATCACAGAGATCTTTCATGTGGGTCATTTTTTTGCCACAGTGTCTTGGCTTTCCATGTCTGAAATGTTCTCTTTGGCTTTTTAGCCAGATCTGAATGCCTTAGGGCCGATTCTAAAGAGTGTACAGCATTTTTGTGTCTGGCACTGTTTTAAGTATTTTATAGACATTAAAACATACAACCCATATACAACAAGCATATTTGGGATTCTACTATAATCCCAATCTTAAAGAAAAAGAAACAGAGACACAAAGGTCCTAAGTAACTTTCCAAAACTTTTTTTTTTTTTAAGATTTATTTTATTTATTTTAGGCTGGCGCTGCGGCTCACTAGGGTAATCCTCCGCCTGCGGTGCTGGCACCCTGGGTTCTAGTCCCGGTTGGGGCGTCGGATTGTGTCCCGGTTGCTCCTCTTCCAGTCCAGCTCTCTGCTGTGGCCAGGGAGTGCAGTGGAGGATGGCCCAAGTGCCTGGGCCCTGCACCCACATGGGAGACCAGGAGGAAGCACCTGGCTCCTGGCTTCGGATCGGCATAGTACGCTGGCCATAGCAGCCATTTGGGGAGTGAACCAACGGCAAAAGGAAGTCCTTTCTCTCTGTCTCTCTCTCTCTCTCACTGTCTAACTCTGCCTGTCAAAAAAAAATTTATTTTATTTATTTTGAAAAACAGAGTTACAGAGAGAGGTAGAGGCAGAGAGAGAGAGAGAGAGGTCTTCTATCTGCTTGTTTGCTTCCCAAATGGCCACAACAACCAGAGCTGAGCTGAGCTGAAGCCAGGAGCCTGGAGCATCTTCCAGGTCTCCCACACAGGTCCAGGGACTTGGGCCATCTTCCACTGCTTTCCCAGGCTATAGCGGACAGCTGGATCAGAAGTGGAGCAGCTGGGACTTGAACCAGCATCCATATGAGATGCCGACACTGCAGGCCAGGGCTTTAACGTACTACGCCACAGTGCCGGCCCCCCAAAACTTTCTAACAGGAAAGTGTCAGGGTTAGAATTTTAACAGACAATCTGGTGTCATGGTTGTGCTATACTTTACCATCTTTTAAAAGATAATTTTGTTAAAATGGAGTTGACATAACTGGTAGGTTTCTAGGTCTGCAGTTTGCTAATAAATAACAGTTGTTGAATTACAGACAATGATGCCTTTGAAGCTCCGTTTGGTGACAGACAGCTTTTATGCGAAAAATTGGAAGGAAACGATTGTGATTATTGTTTTCTTCTTAATCTCTAAACTGTAATGATGTAACTAATGTTTCCTTTTTTTCAGAGTTACTGATTCTGAAAGGCAGAGTTAGGGGGGAGAGAGAGAGTCTTCCATCCACTAATTCACTCTCCAAATGGCCGCAATGGCCAGGCTTGGGTAGGCTGAAGCCAGGAGCCAGGAGTTTATATCTGATGTTTCAAGGCACATAATTCAGAAAGAAACATTGAGTAGTTTCCCATTTTCCATTCCTTCCAAGAAATGTTTGTTTTTGGCCGCCCACGGTAAGCAGAACCTGCAGCTCACGCACTTTTCACCTCCTAGACGCCGCTGCGGAGCTGTCGGGAGCAGAAGACCCTGTCTTTCTCTACCCGGTGGTTCTGAACTGGTCAGTCAAAGGTGCCGTGAGGGAAGGTAGGCGACCTCAGCCTGTCCGTGGTCATCACTCTGCGCTCCCTGGACAACAGCTTCTCCTCTGGGGTGTTTCTGTGCTCTACTTCGAGATTTCACTGGTTCTAGGCAGAATGTTTGGGTTATTAAACCATTCTTAATAATGCAGAATCATGATGATTAGGTAATAAAAGACACATGAATAGGAAACTGATTTAAAGCCTGGAAAGTGAGAGCCTTGATAGTGGTTTATTTTGGTAGTGAATGATGTGATTATGAAAATTACAAAAACTTTGAAAATTATATTAGTGATTTGCTAAGAAGAAATAGAAGAGATAGCAACATTCTTGCTTAGCTCAGAGTGAAATATAATAAAAATTAGGATAACTAATTATGATAATCAGTAATTCTCCCCTGCCACTCCCAGTTAGTCATATGTTAGAAGCAGCTTTAATGAAATCTTTCTCAACACTGAAATATTTGGAAAATAAAATAAATAGAGACTGTAAAGAATTACTTGGTCTTAGAGAAAGAACATTTACTCATAGATCTTTTTAAAAGTGTAAAATCTAAAAAGCAGATTAAAAAACTTGTTTATTTGACAAAATTACTATTACCTCTAGTAATCTTTCAGTTCCAGTAAATGTATTGGTAACTATATATGAACTTCCTTTTTCTCACAGTTATGAAATTTAAACAGAGACCTAGATTCTTGGAATTCTTTACACAAGTTATGCTAAAATGCATGAATGAAGAAAAATTTCACCTTGTGGTAGAGATAACAATTCCTGTCCATGAATTTTTGAAAAGGTACTTGTATTATCAGTTTAACGTGTGTTAACAGTTATTAGAAAGTAACATGTTATTTTAAGATACATAAAGAGTGTGGAGTAAATGCAGTTAAGACAACCACCTGGGGGCAGGTATTGGCCTAGTGGTTAAGGTACAGGTTAAGACATCTGCATCCCGCATAGGTGTGCCTGGTTGATGCCTGGCTCCTACTTCTGACTCCAGCTTCCTGTTACTGCACATGGTGGGAGGCAGTGGCGATGGCTCAAGTAATTGGGTTTCTACCACCCACGTGGGAGAACTAGATTGAATTTCTGGCTTCAGGTTTCAGCCTGGCCCAAAGCCAGCTCATTGTGTGTACTTGGGTATCAAAGCTAGTGAATGGGAGCATTCTCTCACTTGCTCTCAAATAATTGTTTAAAAGGGTTGAGATATGCCTGAGATGACTGCTGGATGCCTAGGTTCAACTCCTGGTTTCACTTTGATCCAGCTTCCTGCTAATGTGTACTCTGGGAGGCAGCAGGTGATGACGGCTCAAGTAGATGGGTTCCTGCCACTCTCTCAGGAAACCCATGGATTTCTGGGCTCCTGGCTTTGGCCTGACCCAGTCCCAGCTGTTGCTGACATCTGGAGGAGTGAACCAGCAGATGGAAAATCTCTGTTTCTCTGCCTTTCAAATAAGTTAAAAATAAACTTTAGAAAACCACCTGTGTGTAAATGAATGAATAAACAAAAGTAAACATAATATGTAACTAAGACTAAGAAATAAGCATAGATGGGGTAGATTATAGCATTTCAAGGCCATTGTCTCTTTTTCACGCAGGATTTTGGGCGCAGTTTGGGTCACTTTTCATTTTTCATGTGCTCTTTTTTGTTTGTTTTCAAAGATTTATTTATTTATTTGAAAGACAGAGTTACAGAGAGGCACAGGCAGAGAAAGAAAGAAAGGTCTTCCATCTGCTGGTTCACTCTCAAATGGCTGCAATGGCCAGAGCTGCACCGATTTGAAGGGAGGAGCCTGGAGCTTCTTCTGGGTCTCCTACACGGTGCAGGGGCCCACACACTTGGTCCACCTTCCATGGCTTTCCCAGGCCATAGCAGAGAGCTGGATTGGAAGTGGAGCAGCAGGGACTCAAACTGGCAGCCATATGGGATGCCGGCACTGCAGGCGGTGGCTTTACCTGCTACACCACAGCAACAGTCCCTCATGCTCTCTTAATTCCTCTGTAGTAATGAGTAGAGTCATCCCTTGGATTTCTATTTGTATATGCGAATCAAGAGTTCCTCAAATAGAAGTAGTAGCTCTGTCTCTCTCATTGTCTAAGTCTGAATAATAATGTCCCATGCCAGTTATGAGAAATGCTAAATGAATCCAACTTTTCTTCTGACAGATGACAACTGGGCTTTGCTTTAACCGCTGAGCATAGATACATCCCATTTCAATAAAAGTGAACATCAGTAATATGAGATCATGAGATCTATTTTTAAAATGACAGCAGAAGAGAAGAGAAAAATTTCCTTCAAAATGCACAGGAAGATAATCTTCCTAAAAGAAGCGTTTCATTTATCAGAACAATAGCTTGGGAGATACATATGTACCTCATACTTTCAAGATATAGAAAAAGAGGACATTAGCCGGCGCCGTGGCTCACTAGGGTAATCCTCCGCCTGCGGCGCCAGCACCCCGGGTTCTAGTCTTGGTTGGGGCGCTGGATTGTGTCCCGGTTGCTCCTCTTCCAGTCCAGCTCTCTGCTATGGCCCAGGAGTGCAGTGGAAGATGGCCCAAGTGCTTCGGCCCTGCACCCACATGGGAGACCAGGAGGAAGCACCTGGCTCCTGGCTTTGAATTGGTGCAGTGCGCCGGCCATAGCAGCCATTTGGGGAGTGAACCAACGGAAAAAGGAAGACCTTTCTCTCTGTCTCTCACTGTCTAACTCTGCCTGTCAAAAAAAAAAAAAAAAAAAAAAAAACATTACTTTTATTAATAAAATAGGCCTTGATAATAAGATAATTGGTCAGAATTAGATCTCTATTAAATTACAAAAAAAAAAAAAACCACCAAAATTAGATGTTTAGAAGCTTTAAATAGCAGTTTTGATACCAAAGAAAATCAGAAGACACTTTTGGTGTGTAGGCAAATTTGGAGAGCTGAATATGGAAATTCAACTAGGAAGAATAGATATTCTGCAAGGGAAGATAGAATAAGTGGCTTGAAAGCAGCAAACAGTGGTGTAACACAAGACTTCAAGGTGGAGACGGGGCAGGTCAAAACAAAAGGAATAATTTCACGTTTCAAGACTGAGCAGGTGTTTCACAGCACTCCGCACCAGGTGAAAGGTAGAGGAGGAGATGCAGATCAGTACTCTGATTTCTGCATTGGTAGGAATGTCTGTTTTCTGGTTTTGTTCATATGCCCAGTTTGTTTTGGCACAGAGGAATTTTCTCATATTGGAACAGACCAACTGCATCTGTATTTTCTTCCGATTTCATGGTTTGTATTTAAAGTTTTAATATATATGCTATTTACTTTGTTATTAGTTTTTCCCCCAGTTTATCAGTTGTCCTGATAATATTTAAGGAATAACATCTGACATCACTTATTTTCAATGTTAACTTTTGACATTCAAAGTGGATAAGTCTTTCAATAATATTTATAAATCACAGTGAACTTTCATGTTGTATTTAACAAAAAAGCCAAAGTATATGGAAATTGCTGAAAGGAAGGCTAATTCAACGGGAACATAATAATACTGAGAGAGTTTTATATCTCACATTTAAAAAGATCAAAACAAAAAGGACCTAGAAGATATAATTAGTAAAATGAATGAGATTAATATGTATATAGCCCAATAAGACTAAATAAACACTCTTTAGAATACTCTTTTAAGTAAACTTAAGCTACAAAATAAAGCTTGCACGGCAATAAAACTGAAACTTTATAATAAAATAAATTCTTAGCATATGCAATTACTTGATCAGAAAATAAATCTTACTAAAAGCTGTAGATCCTTTTAAAATAGTAACAGTGGGAAACCCCACATTTTGAATGTACCCAAAGCAGTAGTTAGAGACAAATTCTTAACTGCTAAAGCTTCTCTTACTAAATAAGAAAAATAAAGTTAAATGAGTTTTGTTTGAGCTCAAAAGACTGGAAAAATAACAAAGCAAATTAAAAAAAAGAAAGAAGAAACTATAAATAAAATTTGAAATTAATTAATTGTAAGTTGGGTTTAAAACAGTCCAATTTAGGGTCAGGTGCTGTGGCACAGCGGGCTAAACCACTGTTTGCAGTATCAGCATTCCATAAGGGCGCTGGTTGGAGTTCTGGCTGCTCCACTCCAGTTCAGGTCCCTACTAATGTGCCTGGGGAAGCGGTAGAAAATGGCTCAAGTACTTGGTACCCTGCCATCCACATGGGAGGCCTGCAAGAAGCTCCTGGCTGCTGGCTTAGGCCTGGAGCAGCCCTGGCTGTTGTGGCTGTTTGGGAAGTAAACTGGCAGATGGAATATTTCTCTCTCTGTCCAATTTACAGTAACTAAATCTGGTTGTTTTATGAATAAATTAGGTAAATTTCTGGATACTAGTAACTCAAAGAGAAAATAATCATAAATTTGGAAGTGGTTAGATATTAGATAATAGTTAGAATTAGATAATAGTATGTACAAATTAATAATAGTAAATTTAAAAAATCTAGTTGAAAAATGGTGATTATTTGGAAAAATTTTAAACATGGAAATTGACCAAAATAGTATTTAGGATAATTCTTTCATATCTTGAAAGAATAAATTTTGTTTTTCGTAAAACTATTTTAGATCATGAGTATAAACTTTCCTGGTAAATTTATCACTACAGGCTCTGATAACAGAATCTCAGAAAAAGAAAATAAAAAATTGGGAAATTATGGGATCAATCTTACTTAGCAGTATATAAAAGCAAAAATCCAAAATCACATCTTACATTTAAGTCCAGCAGTGAAAATGTAGATTTTATTCTCAGTGCAGATATAGTAGATCTGTGATTATTTGTGAAATGTGATTATTACAAAGGGGTTTCCAGTAGGTGTTAAAAAGTCACACAATGAAATTCAGCAATCATTTCCTGGCAAATGTGTAGAATAATTTTTTTCTCTGTTAAAAAAAGTTGGACAGCAAGGAAAGCTGTTATTTCTTCTGTTACTTAACGTTGTTCTGAAAGTTCTTTACAGTGCATTAAGATATGAAATGGAACCTAGAAGATGATTATAACATAACAGTATCTCAAAATGTTTACTAAGATAATTCCACAATGAAATCTGAAAATAGGGATTTTACAAATGATTATTTTTTAACTTAACAAGCTAAAGATAATGAACTGAAAACCATTAGCATTAGTAATAGATGGTTATTTATTGCATGGTATTATAGAACAGTCAGCTGCAAAATTAATAACCACCTTATGCTAACTAGAAAGCTTAATAGAAAAAGATCCAATTTCTACGGAGTTCAAGATTAAGTTTATTAGGAATTGTGAGGCAACATAGATTTATATGAAGAAGACTGAACATCTTTACTAATGTATTTTTTAAAAACACTTGAATGAATGAACAAATAGTACAATACTTGTTGGACAGACAGAATATTATAAAGATTTCTATTATCTTCAAATGAATTTGTTGGCTTAATGAAATTCCAATTAAAATTCCAGTCAAATTATTTTATGCAGAATAGGCTGGAAAAATGGAAATTATTTGGGAAAAAAGCAAAAAATAGGGATTTGTACCATCAGATAAGATAAAACAGAGCAGTACTTGGGAAATAATAAGCAGATAGCCATCAGGACCCAATGACCTAGAAACATGTACAAATATAAATAGTCAAAACAATGAATAAGCTACAAAATAAAAGATCAGTAACATTGAATGAATGAAAACAAAAATAATTGTCGATGCACTATAAGCAATATAAAAAGCAGTCGGAGCTTCACAGAGCTGTGAAGAGGTCAAGAAGTTGAGTTTAATTTATTCAGTGGATGAAGGTTCTTTGAGAGGTAGAGACACTTGAGCAGGCTGGAAAAATATTAGCTCAGATAACACATCCATGACCTCCTCTCCTTCCCATCTTTTTTCTGAAATAACATAACAATCATTAAGCATTTGGGGGTTTGAGAGACAGAGGATGTAGAGAAGAGACCAAGCTTGTGGGAAAATGGTCAACAATCAGTCTCAGGATGCCAAGTTGTGAAGGATAGATCCCGAAGTCCCCAAGCTTTCTAGTTTAGGCAGACAAAATATTTGCCAAGATAGATGTCACCTAACTGAGAGGTTCTTAGAATTGCTGTAGCTGGGTTGGAAACGCAACCAACCACAGGATCCTGGATCATCTTTGTCAAAATTGAAGTGAGTGGCCACCTACCACAGGGACCAAGACAGATTTGGATTACACAGTGTCTCCCAACCCCTGGAACTTACCCAGTCATTTCATTAGCATTGTATGGAAGTGACTCTACTTTTTTTTTTTTTTTAAGATTTATTTATTTATTTGAAGGCAGAGTTACAGAGAGGGAAAGAGAGAGAGGTCTTCCATCCGCTGGTTCACTCCCCAGATGGCCACAGCAGCTGGAGCTGTGCTGATCCAAAGCCAGGAGCCAGGAACCTCCTCTGGGTTTCTCACATGGGTGCAGGGGCTCCAGGACTGGGGCCATCTTCCACTGCTTTCCCAGGTCGTAGCAGAGAGCTGCATCAGAAGTAGAGAGGCCAAGACTGGAACCAGCGCCCAGATGGGATACCGGCATTGCAGGCAGTGGCTTTACCCATAAGCCACAGCACTGGCACTGCGGCTCTACATTTTCACACTTAGATTTTTGGATCCCATTGATTATGTTGAAGCATGGTTTTGCTGTAATTGACCAGTTCTTACCAAAAGAAGAACTTATTCCAGAAAACATATACCTTTTAGGAAAAATAGGTGATAAGTATCAATAGAGGGCTAGTGAGAGCCTTCACAGTATTTGGAGAGGATGGTGGGATTATCACCAGAGTCCATAATTAAGAAAATAAGGTTAAGAATTAAGACCCCCTGCTGATGAAGAGAGAAAGTTTAGCAGGTATCTAGAATGCTTAGCTGTTAATATCCAGAAGCAGGAGGGGCTAGGAGCTTGCACAAGATGGAACCAAAGAGAATGAAATCTGATGGAAGCAGGGAAGCTTATTTAGGGTCACTCCTCTGTAGTTTTCTTCTCAGGGGTAAAGAGAAGTATCCATGTTACTGTATTTTTAGTCCAGTTGTGTTCCACCAACATCATGCCTTCAACTCTTCCTCCTTGTCCTAGAGATGCATCAGGTCTTATTGCATTTATTTTGTGGCATGATTGGCATTGCTTTTGCAAGGTCAAAATGTGATATCTGGTTATTCTTTCATAACCAGATATCACAGCCTAATTTATTTATGAGACACAGCAGTTTTGGATGTTGTTCTCTGCATAATTTTAGTGATAACATTAATTACAGATTTATAATTTTGGTATGTTTTTGGAAAGTTTTACAGGTCTTTTTGACTGACTTTATCTTCTTGCATTAGGAGGAATGAGACCCTCCTTGGAGCCAAAAGAGTAAAACATAAGGAAAATGCTGTTTCTAAAAAGGCAAAGAAACCTTTCAAGAAGTTCAAAGCTGCAGTAATGGAAATCGGAAGAGTAAGTTTCTTACAAGTTTTGATTTTTAAGCTAATGACATTAAGAGATCCAAGTATCTAGATATGATTGGCTACTTTTTAAGTTATGATCAATCAGAAGGATATTATTTTACACATTATAATTTTATGTTGACTTTAAAAAAGGTTTATTTTATTTATTTGAAAAGCAGAGTTACAGAGAGCAAGAGAGAGAAAGAGAGAGAGAAAGAGATTCACAGGCCTTCCATCTACTGGTTCACTCCCCAAATGGCCACAATGGTTAGGGTTGAGAGAGGCTGAAGCCAGGAATCAGAAGCTTCAAACAGGTTTCCCACATGGGTGGCAGAAGCTTAAGCACTTGGGCTGACCTCCACTGACTTCTCAGACGCATTAGCAGGGAGTTGGATTGGAAGTGGAGCAGCTGGGTCATGGACTGACTCCCATATTGGATGCCACCGTTGCAGGCAGCAGCTGTGAACCTGCTATGTCACAGTGCCAGCCCCTATGTTGACTTTTTATTTTTTTCTTCAATTCTTTCTTTTAAATTTTATTTAAGGTATACAAATTTAATGCTTTTCATAAATACAGATTTAGGAACATAGTGATTCTTTACACCCAACCCTCCCTCCAGCCCATGCTCCCGTCCTTCTTCCTCCTCACTTTCTTATTCCCACTCTTAGTTTTTACAAAGATCTATTTTTAGTTTACTTTATATTCATAAGATTAACCCTACACTAAATAAAGAGTTCAACAAGTGGTATGAAGAACAAAAACTGCTGTTTCTCAACAGTAGAAACAAAGGCTGTAAATAATCATCAAATCTCAAAATGTCAATTTCACTTCTTTTAATTGGGATTTTTTTGTTTATGGGGGTACTTCTGTTACTTTTAATAACAATTTTCATTGAGCGATATAAAGAAACTATTTCAGTATCAAGTGATGAGCATTATGAGTAGATTACACTTTTATGTTCCAAGTTTAAATTTATTTGTGATATTTTTGTTATCTCCTTTGTTAAGAATGTAGATATGAAACCAAAAAGAAGACAGAAAAAAAGGGATACTATCAAGGAATTTTTTGCCAAAAATCCAGTAATTTTGGAAATGCCGGAACATGAAAGGTACTAATCAATTAATTCAACTAGTTTACATGAGGGATCCTGTGTCAGGCATTATGTAGAGTACTGAGGATACACTGATGAACCAGTTAAAATCGCTGCCCTAAAGGAAGTTACGTACTAATGAAGGGTCACAGTCAAGAAATAAACACACACATAAGAAAAACAGCTTGAAATTTGAGTTACTTTTATGAAGTGAAAAGGATGATATGCCATAGAATGATTGGCTTTAGCATTATTAGCGGCAGCAACAGTTTAGAAAGGGTGGTCAGAACCAAGCTGGCAGACTTCTTTCAATTATCACTGGACCTGGTATCCACTTTAACATTTTTAATTGACATATAATATTTGTACATCTTTATGGGGGTCCAGTATAATCCTTTGGTACCTGTATTCAGTATATAATGATCAAATCTGGGTAATAAGCATTAGTCATTTCTGCATGTTGGGAGCCTTCAGAATTTTTAGTTATTTTGAAGTACATCATAAATTGGTATAGATGATAGGTACCTTACTGTGCTGCAGACTACTTAATTCCTCCTATCTGACTGCATCTTTGTATTTGTTACCCAGCACCTCTCTATTCCCTTTCCCTCCTCCCCTCCTGGTCTCTAATGACCACTACTCTATTTTCTTCTTCAGTGGTTTTTGTTCCACATAAGGGAGAACATGGGTATTATTTTTCTTTCTTTGCTTGGCTTATTTCACTTAACATGATATTCTTCAGTTCCATCTGTGTTGCCACAAAGGACAGGATTTCATTATTTTTTATGACTGAATAATATCCCATTGTGTATTTTCCCCACATTTTCTTTATCCAATCATCTATTGATGTACTTCTAGGTTCTTTCTAAATCTTAACTATTGTGAATAGTGCTGCAATAAACATGGAAGTGCAGGTATGTCTTTGCTATAATGACTTCATTTCCTTTGGATGTGTACCCAGTAGTGGGGCTGGATCATATAATAGTTTTATTTATTTTTTAAAACATTTTTATTTGAAAGGCACAGAAACAGAGTAGAGAGTGAGTGAGCTAGTCAGTTAGTATGTGCTCCCATCCACTGGTTCACCCTCCAAATGCCTGCAACAACTGGGCTGGGCCAGGTCAAAGCCACGAGCCAGGAACTTACTCCAGTTCTCCCATTGGGTGGAAGGGATTGAATTACTTGAGCCATTGCCTGCTGCCTCCCAGGGTGCACATTAGCAGGTAGCTAGAGTTGGAAGCAGGGATAGGACTTGAATTGATCTTGGTACAATCCACTGGTCTTATTCAGATTACGGCAATTTTACATGCAGACGTGTGTGTGTGTGTGTGTGTGTGTGTGTATTTAGTTCTATGTAATTTGTAGCACTCATGGGACCATCATCATAGTCAAGATAAGGTACAATTCTATCCCAAAGATCTGCACCCTACCCAGATCCCAGGCTGACTATGCTACCTTTTTATAGTCATAGCCATTTGCCTTTTTCTATGCCTCCCAATCTCTGGCAACCACTTTTCTGTTTTTCATCTCTATAATTCTGTCATTTCAAAAATCAGGGAAACACTATTATAACTGGTACAAATGAGCAGGCAGATCAAGAGGTATATAGGGCAAGGTCCAGAAAGTTCCAGAGCACAGGAGCTTCTGTTCCTGTAGGATTGAGTTGTGACCCCCCCTGGCTTGTATTTGCCTTTGGCAATGTGGACGCTCTCTGAACCTTGTTCAATAATTTGTAGAATGGGGGGCCAATGTTGTGGCATAGTGAGTTAAGCCACTGCTTGCAATGCTGTCATCCCGTATTGGACAGCCAGTTAAAGTCCTGGCTGCTCTGCTTCTAATCTTACTAATGTGCCTGGGAAAGCAGCATGAGATGGCCAAGTGCTTGGGCCCCTACCACCCACGTGAGACACCTGCATAGAGTTCCAGGCTCTTGGTTTTGGCCTGGTGCAGCACTGGCCATTGCAGCCATTTAGGGAGTCAACCAGAAGATGAAAGGACTTTTTTTTTTAATCTCTCTGTCTCACACTCTCTTTTTGCAACTCTGCCTTTCAAATAAGTAAATAAATCTTTAGGAATGTTAGAACCCAGTTTTCAGCCACTCTCCTCTCCATAGTTTGGAGATGAGTCAGAGTTCCTCCTCTAATCGTGTGTTTGATCTTTATGGTGACCTGTCCCCATCCTGGGTCACCTCAGTAGCATGGATTCAGGTATATTCTGAGGGACTTTCTGTGAATTACAAAAAAATTTCTATCACTTTGGAAATTAGGAAGATTTTAGGAGCTTTGTCTAAGGAAGAGTGGTAAAAAACAAGTGCATACACATAGATATTTTTATCTATTGATTCAATTTCTTTAAGATAGACTATATCTCTAAGTTTGTGAATTTTTTAGTCTTTTGATGAATTATTTTCTAAGAAATTGTCCATTTTAACCTATTTTTAAATTTATTCATAAAATCTATTTTAATCTCATTATCTTTTGAATTTGTTATATCTGTAGTTGCATACTGGTTACATTCTTCTTGAATTTCTGTCCTCTCATGGTTTTGCAGTTTGACCTACGAGAGGTGGTTTATTTTTCAGTCTTCGAAGAACCAAACGTTATCATTGTTGTTCCTTTCTATTGTGTGGATTTTTTCCATTACTTTTTTACTTTTATATTCTTTACTTCCTATCTTCAAAAATATTTATTTATTTGAAGGGCAGTTACACGCACATACACACACACACACATACAGAGAGAGAGCGAGAGCAAGAGTGAAATATCTTTAAAAAAAAAAGATTTATTGATTTACTTTGAAAGTCAGAGTTACACAGAGAGAGGAGAGGCAGAGAGAGAGAGAGAGAGAGAGAGAGGTCTTCCATCTGCTGGTTCACTCCCTAAACCTTGCACCCCTTAGCTGACATTCTCACTTCCCCAAACTCCCTTCATTCAGTTCCACGCAATCACTAATCTGCTTCCTGCCTCTTTGGATCTGCCTGTCTGAACATTTCCGTGCACATGGACCTGTTCAGATGTACATGTAGTCTGTTGTGGTTGGCTTCTTTCACTTACCATGGTTTCAAGGTTTGAACATGTAGCATGTATCAGTTTTTCATTTCTTTATTGCTATATAGTTTTTCACTTTCTGGATATACCATACTTGGTTTTTCATGCATCTCAGTTGATGGACATTTGGGTTGCTTCCATTTTTTGGCTATTATGAATAGTACTCATTCATGTTTAATTTTTGGTATAGGCAACTTTTCATTTTCTTGAGTACCTACCTTCCATCTTTTGGTTAATTCAGTTACTCTAACTTTTATGTGCTGACCTGCTATAATTTTGAGATTTTGGGGGGGTAGATTCAAAATTTTTGAGAAAAAAGTGTCACAACTAGCCAACAACTGTAAAACGCCTCCATCTTTTGCTTCTGGAGACACAGACCTGGTGTTAAGAGCTGCTTTGGTGATGGAAATGGAGGCGTTCTAAACCCTTTGCAGAATGGCTGGTTGCTTCTTTCCAAGCCTCCTGGGGGGTCTATCAGCGCCTTCTCAGGATACCCAGAGGAAGTCTGTCCTCTTGCTGATCTCCCTGACTCTCTCCGTCTTAATGGTGGGGGAAGACACACCCACCAATACTTCTTGACCTCACTTTTATGTTGGAAATTATAACTTTTATGGTAGTTATTAAAAAGATTCATCTTTTTGGGAAACCAAGTAACATATTGCTAAAAACAAACCTTTGAATTAAAAGGAAATCAGCAAAATACAAAATACTTAGAACTGAAGGTAAAAACTACAAGTCAAAAAGAAGTTTCCTGCCTTCCTTTCTTCCTCAAATGTCTACTTGGCTACAAATCTGTCTTCCTTCCCTCCATCTCCCTTTTCTGTTTTCTACTCAGTGTGTGTTCATTAAGAATCAGAGCCATATCCATGTAAGTGAGCAAGGTGCTTTAACTTCCTGCTGGCATCTGTTTTTTTTTTTTTTTTTATCTTTTCACTTCTGTCAAATAAATCAAATACAGTAGGACTGACCAGTTGGGCCATGACCCTTTGAACAGTTAAAAAATATGACAGAAGTGTTTTTGATGATAGGAAATTATGCTCTATAAACAACTGTGTGATTATAGAAATAATTGAGCTGCTTTGACTTTTGATAGGATTTCTTAAAAATTGAGTATATGTTATACTTAAAATCTGAACAGTTTGTTAAAATTTAATTACTTTTTTCTGGAGCATATGGAATTTGCATTTATGAAGTTATTTCATCTATATTCAACTGATGTTTTATTTCCTCTGGAGTCTAGTGAATGTTAGACAAAATTTTGCTTTCTTGTTTTTTTCCTTAAGGACCAATCCAGAGAAGTGATTTTCTTGTTTAATACTGAAGTTAGTTGATGGATGTGAACATTATGTCATAATTTAATTGTGTAATCTCAACAGCCTTTATGGAAAGGAAAAGCTTGGTTTGGTGTGCGATGAGGACACAGACATCAGAGAGAGTGAAAGGCTATGTGTAGTGTCTGTCTCTGATGCTAGTCCTTGTTCTTGCGTTGCTGTCCTATTTCACATTTAGCACTGAGGAAGTGATAAATGAGCCAGAAACATTTGCATAAGGGCAGTCAAGTGACTTCATAATGCATTTTGTACAGATTGGAATCATTCTTTTTTATTAAATATCTGCAAGTTTTTGTGTAATTTTGAAACATCTTTATCCCTTGGCAGAAATAAGAGAGCTGATGTTAGAAAAATAGCATATCGATGCCTGACACATTACTTGAATCCTGTAATATTAAATTATGTTCAAAGAAAGAGGTTTCATCAGGTATTTCTTGAGGAGATGCCCTGGAGAGCTCAGATGAACCTGTATCTGGCAAGCACACACTTTAACCTGCTTCTACAAAAGCTAAAGGAGCATCCAAAGACGAAATCTGGCACCTCACATGCAACAGTCAGGTATGGCAACACATAATATATTTTTAGTCCCATGAACATGGGTTGTATTTGTATGTTCAGGGCTACCATGTTGTTCACAACTGAAGGAGGTTTCCAGAGTGCCTCTGTCTTTATACTTGTCAGTGGTGTATTTCTTAATTTCTTATCTCAGACTTTTTTCCAAACAAGCATTTCATGTAAGTGCTTAGAAGTACTCATATGTGTATGTTTTTAATGTATTTGTTACTCCAGCCTTCAGTACAAGGGTAAAGTATAATTCCAAGAGAAACTTAACATGAATTTTATAACTGTAGCTGTTAGTAGGCATTAGGTCCATCTCTAGTTCATTTAGAGGTATATGTTAAGCCTTATATAAACGGAGATCATATTTTCTCATGTAATGTAAGCTTTCATCATTAATTCAACAGGCTGTTTTGAGCTCTTACTGAGTGTTTTTGACTAAGTGTTGTGGGAGATATATTAGAAGATCACAATATGGAATGCTGTGAAACCATTCAAAAGCTGATATAGTCATCATTCAAAAATACTTGTGGAGTTTCTGTTCTCTAAAAGAGGTCTTCAAAAAGTTCATAAAAATGTGTATTATGAAAAAACTATACATGAATTTCAAGATGTTTTACACTAAAATAAACCTATCTTTTCATTTCATTTTTCCATGGCACTGAGCCAGGTGTTAGGGGTATGCAAAGACGAACAGGATATACAAGTTAGAGTGTTACAGAGTACACAAATGTTCACAAAGAGCAATAATTAATTGTAGAAGGTTAAGTACTCATACACTGGAGTCTTCTTTGTTCCTTGAAGGAGATTTGTGTCTGTTTAGAATGAACAGGAAAGCTTTCATTGGGAGGGCTCTTAGGATTCAGTTTTAATGGATAGGCAAGGTTTAGAAGTGTACCGATATGGAAGTAGATATTCTTTTAAAATTATTTATTTAATTTATTTGAGAGTCAGAGGGATTGAGAGAGAGACAGAGACTGCAACAGAGGGAGAAACATAAGAGATCTCCCATCCGTTTGCTTACTCCCCAAACATCTACAGTTGTCTACTGGTGTCCCAAGCTGAGAGGTGGGAACTCAATTCAGGTCTCCTGCATGGATGGCAGGGACCAACTATTTGAGCCATCACCTGCTGCCTCCAGGGTACACATTTGCAGGAATCTAGAACTGGGAGCAGAGCTGGAACTTGAACCCAGGTGCTCTGATATGGGATGTAGGCATCCCAACTGGCAATTTAACTGCTGGGTCAAATGCCTACCTGAGTAATAGGCATTTTTTGATAGGAGAAGTACACAACTCAGAGCCTAGGAAAGAAATACAGGATGGGAACCCCAAATAGTGTAACTGGAGTCTAGGGCATATGAGAGTGGTGTGAAATAATCAGAAAAGTAAGTTGCTACCAGATCACGGAGGGTCTGTCAAATCTGAGCTTTATTTTATACACAGTGGGAGATTACTGAGAGCTTCTGAGGAAGAGGAGGGCCGTGATAAGGAATTCCTCTGGCAGCAACATATCAAATGTACTGGATGGAAGAAAGACTCAGAAAAGATATGAATTAAGAGGGTATTTATTTCAACACTACAGTGGAGGAAACAAAATGCAGGTTGAAATACATAATGAACTTGTTCCAATTTCTCTTTCTCCAGAGCTTTGGATAAAATCACTGGCAGGCTGAACCTTCACGGAACTGCTCTGGTTGGATCCCTTACTTATGTGGACTAGAGCGAACTGGCATTAAAGAAGCAGTTAGCATGGCAGAGACCTAATTGTGAAGCCGTATCAAGGAAACTGGTTCAGACCATATGGATGAGAACTACTACCAATTCTTTTCTCCTCCTCCTCTTCCTCCTTCTTTCTCTTCTCCATTTAATTGAAAGAGCTAGAGAGAGAGAGAGATAGAGAGGTCTTTTATCCAGTGGTTCCCTCTCAAGAGGCCACATGGTCAGGGCAGAGCCAGGCTGAAGCTAGTAGCCAAAAGTTTCATCTGGGTCTTCTGCCTGGATGGCAAGGACTGAAGCATTTGGGCCATTAGCAGGGAGCTGGATCAGAAGTGGAGAAGATGGGACTTGAACTGGCGCTGACTGTATGGGCTTCTTACCTGTTCTCTGAACACTAAGATTCTTCTCTGAGTTTCCAATCACACATGGCCACTCATGCTTGATCACTTGGTAGCACAGTAAGACAAGGACCAATATTGTGTCAGGGTAACTTGGTGCTAACTGATTTTTATTAAAATAGTTTATTCAGTATTTTATTATTTATTTTGCAATGGAAGATCGTTTACTGTCTAGACTTCATTTTTAAAAGGAAATAACATGGTTACGGACACATGTTACATATGGTAGGTATCTTCATTGAGTTTTGCTTAAATCTGGTGGTTTTCAGTTGACATAAATTATTGCTTCAGAGTGCATAGAGTGAGTATGGATAACTTATTCTCATTTTCAAGGGCTCTTTTGGGGAACTTTGTAAGGGCAAAGTTACAGTTGAAAAATTAATAATAAAATATTTAAATTTGATTAAGTACCAAAATACTTTATGATCCAAAATTTGAGAACCACAAACAAATGTATTAAAAGTAAAAATAGGTTTTATTGACAGATTTAATTCAGTTTGGCTTATATTGACTTTCAATGTGATTTTTTTTCCTCTTGCAGTTTCCGATCATGTGATCCTAATATATTCTCACTGTATAATTCAGGAACAGTGTTACCAACAGGAAGGTTAACTTTAGAAAATTACAAAGCAATGCTTGATTTCCTTCTTACAGCTAAAAAAAGAAAGGCCAACCTGCCATCAGGTATAATAAATATGCTAATTTACCATCAAATTGCCTGAAGATTTTTATCTACTAATGCACATACACATACTCACACACACCATGGACTCGCAGGGGTACATGTGCTCTTTCCCAGAGATACAACAATTTAATTGAATTTTAATTTTTTTAATAGGGCATTCTTATTTGGTCTATTTTAAAATTTTTCTCCATTTTTATGTTATATACATTTGGAAATATCTATTTTTGTGTTTCAATCTAAATCAGGATACAGAATAGAAAGTTATTTTTTTAAAAAAAGATTTATTTATTATGTGAAAGGCAGAGTTACAGAGAGTGACAGAGACAAAAAGATAGATATATGTATAGAGAGATCTTCCATATACTGGTTCATTCCCCAAGTGGCTGCAATGGCTGAAGCTGGGCCAGCCTGAAATCAGGAGCCAGGAACTTCCTCCAGATCTTCCATGTGGGTGCAGGGGCCCATGCACTTGGGCCATCTTCTGCTTTCCCAGGCACATCAGCAGGGTACTGGATTGCAAGTGGAGCAACCGGAACTTTAACTGATGCCCATATGGGATGCTGGCATTGCAGGTATTGGCTTTACCTGCCATGTCACAGCACCAGCCCCTAGAAAGTTCTTTTGTTATATATTGGTAGTCTCCAGTAGTTCAAGATAAATAAAGACTTGGTATCAGGTGTTGTATTTTAGTAAATTTCCAGACAAGTTTTGTCAAACATACTAGATGCATCAGGCATGAAAAAGATCCTAATAGTTGATTTTGTGCTCAGGGCAGCCCACTCTGGCTCTAAGATATATAACCTTTTTTACAGAACGTGGGATGAATGTAACAATATTCTGATGGCAGGACCAAGAAGTGTTATTATTTGGTCAGGTGATTGGCTTGGGGAGGTGGAGACTTGGAGGTGAACAGGGCTCTCAACCTGGGTGCATTATTGATGATGGCCAAACTTGACTAATTTTTGTACTTCTTTCCTGCAAAAGTAATGGATTCTGGACTTGATTCCTAACCAATAATCTATCCTGAATTCCACTCATTTCATAAGTCAAAATTTATTTCTAATATAATTATGGCATTATAAACCCACTGCTACAGATTTTTAACAGTGGTATTTTAAGTGCTGTGTAACTCATTGCCCATCAGGTCCCTTGGCGTTCTTCCCTAGAAACCTTTCCTGACTCATTGTCCCATGGTAATCCTGTCTTGTTTTCAAATTCATGTAGCACTTACTCTCTGAATTATACATTTGATGCTTATCACTTACTGGACTTTTTAGAAGCTAATTTTGTGTTTGTAATGATGTTATACCTTAATTTTTTTTTTGTACTGTAGATGCTGAAGAATTTTCTGCATTTATTAATTGCAAAACAAGTGAAGAAAATATATCTAAGACACAAACAATTTATGACTCAGATTCTCTATCAGGTCTTAGTGCTAAAGAAAAGGATCGAGCAGCAAACATGGGTCTGTTGGACCATTTTATGAAAATCTTTTTATACTGCCGGAGAGCAATGGTAATGTGATCCTTTTCTCTTTTTAAAGATTTATTTATTTGAAGGGCAGAGTGAATTGGAATCACTATAGCTACATAGAAATCAGTCCTTTTTCTCCTAGCATGAAGGGCATATACTTCAGATATCCCAATAGGTGAGGGGAATCCATCCTTTCTAGACATTAAAGGAACACTTAGCTTCCCATGTTGAACATGGAAGGGGCAGTGATTTTTTTTAAATGTAAAGTAAACTGTCCTCCCTGAGGACCATGAGCACTGGGTCCTCTCTTCCTTTCTGCCAGGTTCAGGCCTTGTGCAAGCTGGCTCTTTCTCACCTTGCTCTTCTAACTCTTGTTTTTCTCCAGCCCACTCCCTCTGTGGTCTTAGAAGGATCTAAGCAGGGGCCACTGTTGCGGCACAGCAGGTTAACCTGTGATGGCAGCATCCCATATTGGAGTGCTGGGCTGCTCCACTTTCCATCCGGCTCCTTGCTAGTATGCATGGAAAAGCAGGGGAAAATGGCCCAAGTCCTTGGGCCCCTGCCATGGATGTGAGACACCCAGATGGAGTTCCTGGCTCCTGGCTTTGGTCTGGCCCAGCCCTGGCTATAGCGGATATTTGGGAAGTGAACCAGTAGATGGAAGAGCTCTCTCTCTGTCTCTGTCTCTCCCTCTTTCTCTGTCATTCTACTTTTCAAATAAATAAACCTTTTTTCTTTTTGTTTTAAAAAATCACTAAGCATGTTGCCTGAGCTGCAAATGCTCCTACCCTCCACCCCTCCTGCCCCACCCCAACCTAAAGTGACTTGTTCAGTTCAACATTCAGGTCTTTTCTCAGACGTCACCTCCCCAGAGGATTTCTCTCCAGACTACCCCATATAAAACAACACATCCTCTTGTACTCTGTCAGATTCTGTTTGGTTTTTATAAAGCTTATTAGTCTCTGAGATTATATTTTCATTTGTCTACTTTTCTAATGTCAGGTTCTTTTAATGAATTGAAGCAGCAGGAGGACAGACTCAGATTCTCTTGCTCCCTACTGTGTTGTCAGCGATTTGACAGCGGGTTTTGTTTTTGTTTTTCTTTTTGGCGGGATGGGGCAGACAACTGTTATGCAAATCCTGGCTCATCATGTAATTGATTGAGCAAGTTAGCCCCATTTTTCCTTTTCCTTATCTGCAAATTGAGCAGAATATAAGCACATACTTAATTCCAAGGAGTTACTCTTAGAATCAAAAGTGATAATACATAGAAATATCTAGCAAATGTAAGTGGTATGTAACAAATGCTATCAGCTATTTTGCTAACATATAATATCTGCAGAAAGATGACATTCAGAGATGTACAGTTTTGGGAACTTTGGGATGATTTGAATGTTGTGTTTGACTCAGGTCCTTGCTCATCGTGGTGGCTATTGGACTCTGCTTCAGAACTGCTGTCGGGCCTTTTGGAACTTTAATCAGGAGCTCCAGATACTACTTAAACAGGCCATGGATCTTTACAAAACGTTTCCTATTAGCCAGGATGCTTTCCTCTGTATTTCCGTTTTACCATTCTATTTGGGAGCTGAATTACTTATTGACATGTTAATACAACTACAAAATATCAATTCTATTAAGGTAAGGGGAATTTTGGTAATTATCTTATTGTAGTCAATTAAAAAATATCTTTGTGCCATGCAACTTGGGATAAGTGGAAATTGATATTTTTCTTGAATTTCCAATTGGTTTGTCTGTGTTTCATTTGCTTCTCATTATTATTTTGTTCACAATGCATAATTTGCATTGGTATTAATTAAAAATGTCTAAGTCTGAAAATTCATTTTGTGAAAGGGAAAGGAAAGTTACATTTACTGAGTCCCAACTAGTACATAGGCTAATGTTAGTGCATTTAACTTATAACAATCTTTGACAGATAAAGAAATGGATTCTAAGAGAGATTACCTAAACTATTAGTTGATCTTTATTCTATTGTTTTATCTGTCCCTGTTCTCTTACCTCAAGTCTGTTAGAATTTGCAGCCATTTGAGATCTGGCACACTATAGCATAAAGCACAGAAGTAAAATAGACTCAATGAAAATATAAAATTATCTAAACACTTGGAAAGTTAGTAAACATGTAAACAAATTGAAATGTGAAGTTAATAATATTTCTAGAGGAAAATATATAACAACAGTAGCACAAAAGACAGAGAAGATAAAGTTAAACAATTTTAAGAGTTGTACACCTTAGAGTGGAACAATATTAATTCTAAATTGAATTTAATAAGTTAAGGATGTATTTAATAATCCCCAAAGTAACTACAAAGAAAAAAAAAGATATAGCTAAAAAGCCAATGAAATAAGCCAGAAGACTAATAATTGTCAACTCAAAAAAAAAATTGCAGGAAAGAAGGAACAGAAGAATCAAAGACACATGGACAAATAGAAAACAAATAGTAAATATCAAACCCAACTCAATCATATCAACAACTATATTAAATAAATTTGGCCAGGAGAGCGGCAAGAAGGCAGAATAGGAAGGGAGCACAATGATAGTCCGGGAAGACATAGTTTAATAAAAGTGGAGATATTGCAGGTTCAAGGAAGAGTTGGGGAAGAAACAGCAAGGAAACTCTTCCGGAACTAGTGATTGACAGTGGACCTGCGTGGAGGGCGTGGGAGCCCACAGCTCGGGACACCATTGGTGGAATCAATGCACCAGCACTGGAACGCGAGGTGAGCCGAACCTCAATAGCCCGAGACACTGGCGGAAAAGTGGAAGGAGGAGCCTAGAAGGAGGAGCTTCAAGCCTCATGGGGGAAAGTTCACCAGGCTAACTAGAAGAGAGAGGAAAAAAAAAAAGTGACCGGTACGGACATGAGTTTCTCTCTCTCCGCTCACCTCTCAAAGGTGAGCAAGACAAAGAGCAGGTGCCATTTTGGACATACATAAAAGCGGCGCAACCTCAGGGCTGCACCCGCCCTCAGCCAAGCAGAAAAACCTGACTCTGGGGGGTGAAAAAACAGATTAGGACCTAGTGAATGTGTGGTGCTAATGAACTGAGACTGTGAAAAAAGAGACGGTGGGTGAGAGAACTCACAGAGTTCACATGAGTACTCTCCAGAGATGCTACAATTCAGTAACCTTGGCAACCCAGTGGGAGACTGCAGGAGAATTTGAGCCCACACTGAGGGAAGAACAGATTCCCTGTGTCGTCCTTGGAAAAGAGCAGGTGAATGTTTTACCCACAGGAGCGAGATTGGAAGCTGACTACCTTCAATTCCACTCAGCTGTACGGAACTACTTCCCTTCTGAATAACAACAACAACAACAAAAAAAAAAAAAAAGAAAAAGAAAAGAAAAAGAAAAAGAAAGAGATTTACCACGCCTAACCTGGGAGTGTCACCTTTCACACACCCTTAACCCTGAGGAACCAAACAGAGCTCTCTGGTCACACCCATCTCAAGCCTCTAAGGCTCCATCAAAAACAGACAGTTCACTTAATACAGTCATAGTATAACAAGAAAAAACTCCACAGTGAGGGAAGAAGAATCCAAAGAATATCTCCACAATGCCAAGCAACAAATGCAGAAACCGAGGAAACAAGAACAGGAAGACATTATGATGCCCCCAAATGAACAAGACACCCCAAGCCAGGATTATGAAGATTATGAGATGGAAGAAATGCTAGATACGGATTTCAAAAAATTTATGATAAGAACATTTAGAAGTTTTCAAAAACAAATGCTTGAGGCTAATCCTCCGCGTGTGGTGCCAGCACCCCGGATTCTAGTCCCGGTCAGGGCACCAGATTCTGTCCCGGTTGTCTCTCTTCCAGGCCAGCTCTCTGATATGGCCTGGGAATACAGTGGAAGATGGCCCAAGTGCTTGGGCCCTGCACCCCATGGGAGACCAGGAGAAGCACCAGGCTCCTGCCTTCCAATCAGCGCGGTGCACCGGCCGCAGCTCACCAGCCACGGTGGCCATTGGAGGGTGAACCGATGGCAAAGGAAGACCTTTCTCTCTGTCTCTACTAGCAGAAACTAGTAGAACAGGAAAGTGTGATAGGGAAGAGAAATCAAAATGAAATGAAGAACTAAATAGATCATATGACAAACACATTAGAGATCCTTAAAAACAGAGTCAGTGAAGCAGAAGAGAGAATATCAGACTTAGAAGACAGCACAGGAAGTCTATAGTCAAACCAAAGAAAAGAAGACTAAATTAGAAATCTAAAAAATATTATTGGGAATCTACAGGATACTATTAAAAAACCAACATTCGGGTTCTGTGAGTTCCTGAAGGAATGGAAAGAGAGAAAGGATTACAAGGCCTTTTTAGTGAGATACCAGCAGAAAACTTCCTGGGTTTGGAGAAGGACAGAGATATCCTAGTACAGGAAGCTCAAAGAACCCCAAAAAACATGACCAAAAGATATCCTCACCATGACAAACTCATCACAGTGAAACATAAAGAAAAGATTTTAAAATATGCAACAGAGAAACGTCAGATTACTCTCAGAGGATCTCCAATTAGATTCACAGCAGACTTCTCATCAGAAACCCTACAGGCTAGAAGGGAATGGAATGACATAGCCCAGGTACTAAGAGAGAAAAACTGCCATCCCAGAATATTATATCCTGCAAAACTCTCATTTGTGAATGAAGGTGAAATAAAGACCTTTCATAGCAAACAGAAATTGAAAGAATTTGTCACCACTCGTCCAGCCCTGCAAAAGATGCTTAAAGATGTATTACGCACAGAAACACAGAAACACGGTCATCAATATGAAAGAAGGTAAAGGAAGGAAACCTCACAGCGAAAGATCACAGGAAGTTCAAGGCATATATTAGAAAATATCTTTGGCAAATGGCAGGGCAAAGTCACTACTTATCAATAGTCACATTGAACGTTAATGGCCTCAACTCTCCAGTTAAAAGACACAGGTTGGCTGATTGGGTTAAGGAACAAAACCCATCTATTTGCTGCTTACAAGAAACACATCTTTCCAACAAAGATGCATACAGACTGAAAGTGAAAGGCTGGAAAAATTCTTCTCAAACTATTCAGAACAATGAAAAAAGAGGGAATCCTCCCAAATTCTTTCTATGAAGCCAGCATCTCCTTAATTCCTAAGCTGGAAAAAGATGCAGCATTGAAAGAAAATTATAGACCAATATCCCTGATGAATATAGATGCAAAAATCCTCAATAAAATTCATGCCAATAGAATGCAACAACACATCAGAAAGATCACCCACCCAGACCAAGTGGGATTTATCCCTGGTACGCAGGGATATTTCAACATTCACAAATCAATCAATGTGATACACTACATTAACAGACTGCAGAAGAAAAACCATATGATTAACTCAATAGACACAGAGAAAGCATTTGATAAAATATAACACCCTTTCATGATGAAAACTCTAAGCAAATTGGGTAGAGAAGGAACATTCCTCAACACAATCAAAGCAATTTATAAAAAACACACAGCCAGCATCCTATTGAATGGGGAAAAGCTGGAAGCATTTCCACTGAGATCTGGTACCAGACAGGGATGCTCACTCTCACCCCTGCTATTCAATATAGTTCTGGAAGTTTTAGCCAGAGCCTTTAGCCAAGAAAAATAAACTACAGGGATACAAATTGGGAAGGAAGAAGTCAAACTATCCATCTTTGCAGATGATATGATTCTTTATTTAGGGGATCCAAAGAACTCTACTAAGAGACTATTGGAACTCATGGAAGAGTTTAGCAAAGTAGCAGGATATAAAATCAATTTACAATTTAATACTTTATCCCTTTTAGTATTTTTTTGTTCTAGTTAATACTATTGGTTGAACTCTGTAATTAACACACAATTATTCTTTGGTGTTTAAATTTAACAGAAAAGTGATCCCTGTTAAATATAAGAGTGGGAATAAGAGAGGGAAGAGATGTACAATTTGGGACATGCTCAATCGGACTTTCCCCAAATAGTGGAGTTAGAAATGTGCCAGAGGATTCCAATACAATCCCATCAAGGTTGCATGTACCAATGCCATCTCACTAGTCCAAGTGATCAATTTCAGTTCACAATTGATCACACTGATAGGTCTAAGAGTCAAAGGGATCACACAAACAAGACTAGTGTCTGCTGATGCTAACTGATAGAATAAAAAAGGGAGAGAACGATCCAACAGGGGAAGTGGGATACACAGCAGACTCATAGAATGGCAGATGTGCCAAACAGCACTCTGGCCTCAGAATCAGCCCTTAAGGCATTTGGATCTGGCTGAAGAACCAATGAGAGTATTTTAGGCATGGAAAACCAAGACACTCTGGCAGAGAAAAATGACCTAGATAAAAGATCTCTGTGAGTGAGATCCCAGTAGAAAGAACAGGGCCATCAAAGAAGGAGGTACCTTTCTCTGAAAGGAGGAGAGAACTTCCACTTTGACTATGACCTTGTCTGAATAAGATCGAAGTTGGCGAACTCAAAAGGCTTCCATAGCCTGGCAACTCATGACTAGAGCCTAGGGAGATTACTGACTCCATAAACAAGAGTGTCAAATTGTTAAGTCAACAACAGGAGTCAATGTGTACTCACTCCTTATGTGGGATCTCTGTCCTTAATGTGTTGTCCAATGTGAAGTAATGATATAACTAGTACTGAAACAGTATTTTATACTTTATGTTCTGTGTGGGTGCAAACTGATGAAATCTTTACTTAATATATACTGAACTGATCTTCTGTATATAAAGATAATTGAAAATGAATCTTGATGTGAATGGAATGGGAGAGGGAGCGGGAGATGGGAGGGGGCGAGTGGGAGGGAAATTATGGTGGGGGGAAAGCCATTGTAATCCATTATCTGTCTTTGGAAATTTATATTTACTAAATAAAAGTTAAAAAATAATTAAATAAATAAAAGTGGCCAAACACACAAAGAGACAGTCTCACTGTATAAAATAGATCGACACAAACACCTGTCTACGAGAGAAGCAATCTGACCATAAAGATACATATAGATCAAAAATAAAAATATTAAAAAGAGATATACACCATGAGAATACTAAAGATTAAAGTGCTTCGAGGCTATATGAATATTAAAGTAATCTTCAAATCAAGGAGCATTCTGAAATAAAGAGACATTACCTAAAAGCCTCAATTAGTCAGAAAGGCATACCAATCATAAATGAATATGCACCTAATAATAAAATTTCACAATATTCTCTGGACACCCAAAGCTTGAAAACATCCTAGTTGTCAAGGTTGGCTCCGTGGCTCACTTGGTTAATCATCTGCCTGCAGCGCCAGCTTTGCATATGGGCGCTGGGTTCTAGTCCCAGTTGCTCCTCTTCCAGTCTAGCTCTCTGCTGTGGCCCAGGAAGGCAGTAGAGGATGGCTCAAGTGCTTGGGTCCCTGCACCTGCATGGGGGACCAGGAAGAAGCACCTGGCTCCTGGCTTTGGATTAGCACAGTTCTGGCCGTTGCAGGTATTTGGAGAGTGAACCAACAGAAGGAAGACCTTTCTCTCTGTCTCTCTCTCTCACTATATGTAACTCTACCTGTCAAATAAATAAATAAAATCTTTAAAATAAAAAAAGAAGAATTTCAGAGGGACCAGTGCTCAGGCGTAGTATGTTAAGCCTCTGCCTGTGGCGCTGGCAGTCCGTATGGGTGCTAGTTCATGTCCAGGCTGCTCCACTTCTGATCCAGTTCTCTGTTAATAGCCTGGTAAAGCAGAGGAGAATGGCCCCACATGGGAGACCCAGATAAAGCTGGCTTCCTGGCTTCAGACGGTCCCAGCTTGAGCCATTATGGCCCTTTGGGGAATGAACCAGCAGATGGAAGACCTCTCTCTCTCTCTCTCTCTGTCTCTCCCTCCCTCTCTGTCTGTACCTCTGCCTCTCAAATAAACAAATAAATCTTTTCTTTTAAAAAAAAATTTCAGGGGCCAGCACTGTGGTGCAGCGGATTAATGCCCTGGCCTGAAGTGCCGGTATCCCATATGAGCACGGGTTCTAGTCCTGGCTGCTCCTCTTCCGATCCAGCTCTCTGCTCTGGCCTGGGATAGCAGTGGAAGATGGCCCAAGTCCTTGGTCCCCTGCACTCACATAGGAGTCCTGGAGGAAGCTCCTGGCTCCTGGCTTTGGATTGGCGCAGCTCCAGCCATTGTGGCCAATTGGGGAGTGAACCAATGGATGGAAGACCTCTCTCTCGCTTCTCCTCTCTCTGTGTGCAATTCTGACTTTCAAATAAATAAATAAATAAATCTTAAAAAAAAGAATTTAAGAGATATATACAAATATACCATGGGAAATGATCAAGATAGCTACATAGTAACTTCTACAATTTAGGAGAAAAGAGTTTTCTAGAAGATTTCCTCCTCCAGAGGTTTGACAGTTGTTCAACAAAGCAGACATACTCTACAAATTAACAACTATAACCAGTGTGTTAGAGAACTTCATTATTTGTATATACTAAAACCGGTTTCTGTTAAACACTTTATCTTATTGGTTTACTAGTGATGCTTAAATCACGTATGCTGAGTATAGACTGTAGACCATGCTCTGTAATGTAGTAACCATTGTCCAAAGATGGCTATATAAATTTGTGCTTGAATTAATTCAATTAAATTAAAAATTCAGTTCCACTAATCATATTTCAAAAGCTCAGTAACCACTGTGGGGAGCAACTCGGACTAGACTAAGTTACTGGAATTAAGACTTATTCTATGCATCTGCTCTCCCACAATATGGCGCTGGGAGAGGAGGAAACAGCTTCTACACAGCTGCCTCCAGTTCAATCAATAAACAGCAGGACCTGCTCCTGATTGGAGGAGAGTAGTGTACTCGGTGTGTGAGTAGCAGAGTTGGGATTGGCAGAAGAGGACCATAAAGGAGGAGAGAGACAACATGCACCAGGAACACCTGAGGAACATCTGAGCAGCCCCTGAGAGAGCCGGCCGGTGGTGTGCCACTCCCCCGCGGAAGTGGGGAAAGTGGCAGGGGGAACCGCCCTTCCACGGAGGTGGAAGGGACGGTAGCCAACCCGGGAAGGACCAGCAGCAAACCTGGGGAGGGCCGAGCAGACAAAAGAACAGCGCAGGGTCCTGTGTCGTTCCTCCACGAAGACGGGGAGCGACACCACATATATCTAGTGCCAATAAAATAGTATATTGAAAGCACATATGGTAGTCTTTCATCACCACAGAAAGTTATTTTAGATAGCAAAATGATAAAGCTTTGATTTGGATAATAAAAATATTTTTATTTTCTGTTCAGTTCTTTTCAATATTATATTTTTATTACATTCAGTTTTCATAAAGTAATATGTAGTAAAATGTGAAGTTAAACACATTTTCCCCCTCAATGTATTACTTGCAGTCTGTTGAAGACAGAGGAGAGTTCAGTGTTCCAAGCTGTTATGGGAATATTAAACATGATAATGGTGGTGCTGGCCTTACTTTTGAGCATCCTTTGGATGATGTCAATGTGGTTGATTTGAGATGGATCCATGACTTTGTATTAAAATCTCTGGAAGTTTTATACCAAGTGGAGAAATGGGAAACACTAGTATCACTTGCCATTCAGTTCAATATAATTTCACAGTAAGTATTATAAGGACAATTACATGTAATAGATTTCACTGAAAAAAAAAAGATCTTAACTAATGTGTGCTTTTTAAATGTACTCTTTGCCCTTGTTTAGTGAGAGATACACAGAACAAGTGACACCACTCCTGGTATATGCACAGCGCCAGCTTCTTCTGAGGATACACAAATTCAATGGCCCAGATGTCACTCAACAACCCTGTGCAAGGTATGAAGCCGAACATGGAGAGAAGGTAAGTTCAGCTCTACTAATGCATGCAGCTGTAGTTTCTCTTTAGCACATCCATATAGTACAAAGATTTAGAATCAGGCCAGCGCTGCGGCTCACTAGGCTAATCCTCTGCCTGCGGCGCCAGCACACCAGGTTCTAGTCCCGGTCGGGATGCCGGATTGTCCCGGTTGCTCCTCTTCCAGTCTAGCTCTCTGCTCTGGCCCGGGAGTGCAGTGGAGTGTGGCCCAAGTGCTTGGGCCCTGCACCTGCAGGGGAGACCAGGAGAGGCACCTGGCTCCTGGCTTCGGATCGGCGCGGTGCGCTGGCCACAGCACACCGGCCGCGGCAGCCATTCTGGGGTGAACCAACGGAAAAAGGAAGACCTTTCTCTCTCACTGTCCACTCTGCCTGTCCAAAAAAAAAAAAAAAAAAAAAAAACAAAAAACCCACAAAAAACCAAAAACAAAGATTTAGAATCAGATAGGTATTAATATTTCTACTTGGACATTTATTATTCACATCAACAAACATTATTGAGAACCTGCTGTGTGCCAGGATTTTCCAGATATAAGGTAAACAAATTAAGTTCTAGTCCATTAGAAGTTTATATTCGGGTCAGGGCTGACTTATCCATTAAGCATATGGGGAAAGTGTCCACAGCGCCAAGTACTTTCCAACCCTCTGAATGCTTTAATTTATTTTTAAGTAAGGAGGAAGAAAGTAAATTTTAGGTTAAAGAATATGTTTTAATTTCAAATATTATTTTATAAAACTTATTTATTCATTTTTACTTTCATTTAAAAGACAAAGAGGATGTTTTACCCACTCGTTCACTCCCCAAATGTACACAACAGCCAGGGCTGAACCAGACTGAAGCCAGAAGCCTGGAAGTCAATTGAGATCTTCCTCATGGGTGGTAGGGACCCAAAAACTTCAGCCATCCTCTGCTGCCTCCCAGGTGTGCATTAGCTGGGAGCTGGAGCAGAAGCAGAGCTAGGACTCAAACACAAGCATTCTGATATGGGATGGTCTAATTCCAAGTGGCATCTTAACTACTGTGCAAAACTCTTGCCCCAATATACATATTTTTAAATAGAGGAGTAGGCCGGTGAAGGCATGAGTGCCCAAAGTCCATGCAAGTCATGGTATAGCTTGAATCAGGTAGAGGAAAGAGATAGGTAAATAAACTAATTTACTAATTTAACAAATAGTCAGTGTCCTGCCAAAGGCCCCTGGCACACCAGTCCCTGCTGTCCACAAGTCTCTATACTTATGATATTACATCCACCCAGCAGAGGCACCACCTTCCTCTTCTCACAAAGATTCCTTCTGGCCTTGTAGTAGCCTTGCCTCCTGCATATTCTATGTTGAGAATGAGGTCTGAGTTCCTGCTTTTTGGAGCTTAGTTTTGGAGGGGTGAAGATAGGGCCAGATAATAAACAACATAAGCAGACGGAGAAATTTATGATAATCGAGTTATCTGAAGAAAATAAAGTTGATTGATGGGGTAGAGATAGGCTGCGGTGGGAGGTGGAAAGTTTCCTGAGGGTGATCAAGAAGACTTCTCGGGGATGATGACATTTGATGAGAAGGGGCCAGCCATGGAATGATCTGCCAAAAGAGCGTTCCACACCAAGAACAAAGGACAAGGCCTGAGATGGGAAAAAAGAACTCTTGCATGCTGAAAGGCAGCTGAGGAACAGGGTTAAAAAAAAAAAAAAAAAAGAGCCTGCATCTTCTGACTCTTGCTTGCTGTTTCTTCCTCTTCTCCCAGATGCCTTGATGTTAGTGTGCCCTGAGGCTTTGCTCTTAGACCGCCAGTCCTCTCTTTCTTCACAAACTCCCCCTCAGGGAGCTAATTTAGTCTGAACCTCTGTGTACGTCTTTGTAATGATGATGATGATGACTGAGATTCCTTCTTCATTCTAGACTTTTCCTTGACTTTTGTGTTGATGTGTCTCACTGTTTGTTATCAGTCAGCATTCAATAGGAAAAGCAGAGCTACTAAGATCTGGCTATATTGTCTGTCTCTCTGTCTGTTTGTCTGTCTATCTAAGGGTTTATTACTAGGAATTGGCTTATGTGACTGGGGGGACTCTCTAAGCAAGTCCAAAATCCAGAGGGTGGGCATTCAGGACCACGAGCAGGAAGGGACTCCCCAGGCATGAACTGAAGTTATTATCCATGACCAGTTGGTGAGGAGAGAACTGTTACAGACCCGGCTGCTGTTTGCTGTTTGGAGTCCTAGACATCGTTGATGCATCAAGGACTCACCTGATTAGGTCAGGCCCATTGAGGATAATCACCCTTGCTTAAAGTCAGTTTATCAGTAAGACTTTAATCATTATCTATGCAATTCCTTTACAAAAACACCTAGGATAGTGTTTGAATAACTGGCATGAAGTGTGTGTATGCTTCCCCATGGTTTAGCTGTACCCCAGTTGACCCATAAAAAACCATCATACTGTCTAACCAGCATGATCTCCTGGACACTTAATATACTTCTCAAAATTAGCACATCTCAGACAAATCTGTTCTACTAAGTCCTCCTCAGTTAGTGACAACCCTCTCTCTCTAGCTGTTCAGGACAAACACCTCAGAGGTACCCTTGACTCTTTTCTTTCTTTCACACTCCATTACCAAAGCCTCTAGCTTTCAAAATACAACCAGAATCTGACCAGTTTTCAGTTGCTCCAGCACTTCTCCAATCCAGCCACGGTCACATTTGCACAGGTTACTGCAATGACTTTCCAATAAACCTTGCATCCCTACCTCCAGCCTATAGTCTCTACTCCCCAAATGGCCACAACAGCTGCTCCTGGGCCAGAGCTACCTCTGGGTATCCTACGTGGATGCAGGGGCCCAAGCACCTGGGCCATCCTCCACTGCTTTTCCAGGCCATAAGCAGAGAGCTGGATTGGAAGTGGAGCAGCCAGACACAAGCTGGCACCACTGTGGGATACTGGTGCCAAAGGCGGAGGCTTTGCCTAGTATGCCACAGCATTGACCCCGTCTTGGATTTTTTAAGAGAATTTTCTTCTGTCTAAAGAGTTTTCTGTTTTCAGATATTTTACAGTTTTAGGACTCAAATATGTGCCAGGAAACAAATGTTCAAGCTACTACAGAGGAAGTTCATTCTGAAAAACTTCACCAGGGAAGTTAAAATTACGTTAATTATGAGTAGGCTGGAAATATCTGCCATTGGAAAAGCAGCCTATATTTTAAATATGTTTCAACTTACACAATGGAAGATACATTTAGACTAGCACATTTATAGAATGTCAGGAAATCATATTCTAATTGTTCCTCATAATTTGCCTATTGCTCTTCCAGCTGTGTTGTGTATAAGAAATAGGAAAAACTATGTAGCCATTTTTTCCCCTGAGAGTTCTCATAATTGAAGGCTATTCTGCCAGCTTTTATTTCCAGCATTGTTTTGTATTATGTTGACAAATGAAAAATAAGATAAACATTTCAAGTGAAAGTTTTAACTATAGATACTAAGTAATATATTTTTTGTCTTTGTTTTTTAAGATAACCTGCCGAAATTTCATTGGGAAGCAGCTCAAGATTAACCCTCCAGTCAGTACAGTGACAGATACAAAAAACCGTGCGGATGCACTAAAGACACTGATCTATTCAGGTTAGAATCAATTTTAGCTTGAAGTCCTTATTTCTCTAAATCAAAGCTTGCCATTGTGTACTACATGTCAAAACTTCCATAATTAAAATATTTGTAAAGTCTTCTTTGAAGAATTATTTGACTGAAGATAATTCATCTCATATTTACAATTTTACATTATTTTAAACAAGTCCATTAAGGTTGATTAGCCCTTCCTTTTTTTTAGTTTAATCTGTAAGTTAGAAAAAGGGAAATAAAAGAAAAGCAAAAGGGAATTTGATGAGAAAAATTAAAAGCATACTTCAAAATGTCTGGGAAAATGGAACTAACAAAAATTTATTATGGTACAAAAAATTTTTGAAATTTATGCAAATGAGAGATCTTAAAAAGTTCATGGAAAATTTGTTTTGTATAAAAAAACCCATGCATTAATTTAACTTTTTTTTGCATGCTGAACTAAACTTTGTTTTAGTCCATTTTCCCATGTTTTTGAAGAACCTTCATAGAATGGACTGTTTTGCACATTTTCTATTTTTTTCTCACCTTGGAACTCTTTTGTTTCAATCTTTGCTATTTTCTTTGTTCTTTCATGACTCCCATAATAACTTCCATTTCCATAGTCAATATAATTGTTCTATTGGCTTTACCATGGTTAAGTTGTAGGTATTTTAGCAGAAAATTTGAGAATGCCATGGCTTGTTTGTTCTTGGCAGTGTAAATTATAGGGATGAAACAATAGAATAAGATGAAAATGGAAATAATGAGTGTTTGGAATTGTACTTTTTGTGTACCTCTGTTTCTGGTATAGGAGAGAAATGCTACTCTTTAAAGTGTTATTGTCTTTCACTTATTACGCTTGCTGATTTTTTACATATGTGTATACATGTGTATGTAGTTATTCATTCATTTATCTATTGATACAGTTGTGCAGCCATTCAGTAAATATTTTCTGAGTATGTACTCTGTGTTAAGAGCTGAACTAGGCTCTGAGAATACAAAGATGAATGAGACTAAAGATTTTTTTTAACCTAGGATGTTATAGTCCATTAAATGATATCAGTAAGTAAATGAGAGATTATAGGTTACAGCGAAGGGATCTGTAGTATTACGACTACTGCTGCTGTTACAAATATTAATAACTAACAGCTGGCATCTGCTTTTGAGAAATGGCAAAAAAGACAAATGGCTGAGGTTAGAAATGTTGGTAGGAAGTAGGTAACAAAGCGTCTTAGAGGGCAGGATAAAGAGATCCAGTTTTATCTGGAGAGCTGAAGGGAGCTAGTGTAAAGGATTTAAAGAAGGAAAATGAAATGCTCGTATTCATATCCTTATGAGAAATTTCAGCTGCAGCACGGGGCATTGAAAGTTAGCCAGGTGGAAGGACTTCTTAGTTATGTATTAGCATAGACATGATGAAAGCCTGGTTTTGGGAAGTAAGAGCAGACGAGGGGACAGAGATGAAATTAGGCAGAGTAAGTCCACAGGACTGTGTTTGGATGTAGACACCTAGTGAGGAAGGGTGGAGTTGAAGTTGTCTTGGTTTCTGGTGTGGATGGCTAGGTGGATAATGGTGAATTCACCCAGGCAGGAAAACCAGAGACAGGCAAGTTAGAGGGAAGAGTCACTTTATCATCACTGAGCTTGCTTGGATGATAACTGAGTAGAATTATCCAGTATATAGTAGAGCATCTAATGAGACACTCAAAAGAGAGCCAGGTTGGAGATCTTTATTTTAGTCATTCATACATTAGTGGAGGTTGATGGCAGGGTCTTGGATGAGCTCAGCTAGGGAGACCTGAGAATGGTCACCTAGATAACACCAACATTTAGGAAGCTGTGCCAGTCAAAACTGGCTAGGGCTATATAGCAATTACGGACAGTTCCCCAGTCTCAATGCCTTAATGCAAGGCAAAGTCTAGTTCCTATTTATGCTGCTGTGTTCAATGAGTTTGAGCACTGGACTGTGGCACATCATGATGGAATTTCCATTTTAACACAAACTTCCAAAACTTGCAAACATTACAAATCAGGAAACAGAAGTCTGACATCACCCTCTAGGAGAGCTCTACTGAGGGCGCCTCCTGTAGTGAATGACGCCCAGCACAGCCATTGCCAGTCATTACTATGCTACATGGTTTACGCTAAGGGCTTTACCTGGACTATCTTATGCCGTTGTTACAGCAATCCCAATAAAAGAAGTAAAATTCTGCATTGCATATAAGGCACTCTTACAGGTTCTTTGTGAATGTCATCTTGCAGCTACCTAGTGGGATAGATTTCTTTCTATCTCAATTTTTCAGATAGAAATAAAGATATGCTAAATTGGACATTGGCTCTTGAAGCTGCCACCTGTGACATGTGTTAAATCTGCTGACAGTTTGCTGGATAAAGTTACATAGCCATGCCTAGCTTCAAAAGGAACCCAGAAGTGTGATCCTCTATACTACTAAGGATAAAGAGGCACAGAGTATGTGATGGGTCCTAATGACTATCACAGGGTAAACAGAGGAAGAGCACTATCTGAAGACCAGAACACCATAGACATGGAAAGTAAAATGGATGACAGTCATGAACAAGGCCAAGGCAAGAGAGTGAGAGAAGGAGAGAGAGAGAGAGAGAGCGCGTGAGCAAGCACTTTTAGGAAGAGGACATAGTCAACAGTCAGAGAGAGGTCACATAAGAGAGGACAAACTGTCTATTTTGTTCGGCAGTGTGGGTAGACATTGTCACTGTCCTTTTACCATGACATTGCCACTTTGCTCTTCCTGAACTAGTCTTCCTCCCACCCACATGTCTGACAATAACCTCCTTGTCTTCTTTAAATATTTTCAATGAGACTTACCTTCACCATTCTCTTTCACTGTACTTCCTCATGCTCTTTAGTTTACTATATATTTTCTTTTGAAGTACTCCTCACCATCTATCATACTGCGTAATTTTTTTTTGCTGTATTTATTGATTACTAGTCTCTGATAAAATGTAAGCTCTGCAAAGGCATGTTTTGTTCACTGATGTAATGCGAATGTCTTCATCAGTGTCTGACACATAGTAGGAGCTTAGTATCTGTTTGCTGAATGAATGACCTTGTAACCTTAGAAGTGATAGGGAGGGGGGTGGGAGTAATTTGAGTGGTGGTACCTGCAGTAGTGGTGATCTGTGCCTGCAGAGAATTGCCTTTTTGAAAACTTGGCAGTGATGAGAGAGAGAGAGAGAAGGAAGGAGGGAGAGAGAGAGAGAGAATGTGTGTGAATTTAGAAGTAACATAGAACCCAAAGGGCTCAGGAGGGATTTGTTTTGTTTGTATGTTTTTTAAATAGAAGAAAAGGGGCATATTTCTGTATTAAATGGAAATAGCCAGATAGAGGGAAAACTTCAAGATAGGAGAACAATGTATTTGATAAAGCAAGTACCTTAAAGAGAAAAAAGTCAGAGTGAGATGAAGGGAGCTTAGCTTTAGACAGCAGGTTGGGACATTTCTGCCAGGGCAGAAAGGAAAGAGGAATGGATAGGCCTGGATGCAAGAAAAGTTTGTAGGTCACAAGGGTAGAAGTTGAAGATATTTTCATTGAGTGGTAGAGATTTCTTTTTTAACAGAGCAGGACAATGAGAAGACAGTCGAAGTTGATAAAGTAGGGGATTCAGGAGGAATATGGAAGAGTGCAGTGTCCTCTAAGGGAAACAGAAGAAGGAAAGGGAGAAGAGTTGTGGAGCAATGTAGAGGGTCCTGTTGACCAAAGTTGGTGACCGTGACTTTGTAGGTTTTACTGCCAATGATAAATCAAGTGATCCCCTCATATTAGATAAACAGTTGGAGGACCATCTTCCTGTGGTCACTCATGGTGATTAGTTTCAATCAGACTGTCATTTTTCCCAGGCATGTTCTCCTTTTCTTGATCTCCCCTGTGAATCCTCCTGCATTCCCCTGTTTTGGGGCCCATGGCTCAAATATGATTTATATTATTCTTTCTATCTTAAAAAGAATTGTTTCAAATGTGAGAAAATTTATAAAAATGATTGTTATCAAAATGATGAACATCAGAGGGATAAGAAAAAAACTTACCTCACCATCTGCTGGACCTGTGTCCCGGTAGATGTCTATGGATAAGGAATACATGGCAGAAGAGCACTTCGCTTGCCTCTTGTTAAAGTTACATTTGAAAAGGCAGGATGGTGCTGATGGGACTGAGAGAAGGAAGGTGCAGTCAGGCTGTAGGGATCCTTTGAACTGATTCTCAATTTTAGTAGAGATATAGACAATTGATTAAAGCAGGGATATCAAAAAGAAAAAATGTTTAAAATATTGTAACAGCAGTTAACAACTTATTGAGCTAGAAATACATTTAGCTTCTTTAATTTTTCTCATTAAATTATTAGCATTTTAATGGATGCATTTAAAGAAACATTGGAAGACATTACAGCTCTTAACAGTGATTGTATCTGGGAGTCAGAATTATAGGAAATGTTTGCTTTATGTTGCATATATTCATATTTAGTTTATTCAGTATGTATTTTGTTCGTTGTCAAAACAGACTTCTAATTTTAAAATTTTTAGTAAAGGTATAAATAACACCAAAGTGTAAATATTATTGCTATCTACATATTTATGGGTAATTTTAAAATTTAATATACATTTCAATTTTCCAGATTGTGATATTTTTTCTGAGTAAGGAAAATATTATCTTAAAAGGCAATAAAAATTCATATCTGATGAATAGGATATTGTGGGTTAGGTAGATGCTATTTTTTGCTCATATAACATATGACAAGATTAAATGTTACTAATAAGTGGTGGGACTGTGATTCAAACCCTGTCCTGTCTAATTGCTCAATCCGAAACTGCTTCTCTGACTTACCAGACCTCTCCTTCATTGCTCCCTTTCAGGTTAGAATTTCCTCCAAACTTATATAACTAAAAAAAATGTGCTGTGTTTCAGTGGTCAGGGGAGTCAGCTCTTTATTCTGACTTATTGTGATGGTATGGTAATTTTATATGAACTTACATGCCAATTATAGACTTTATA